GGGGGGAGAGGAAGGGGAGAGGAGAAGGGGGGAGGGGAAAAGAGAGGGAAGTGGAGGGGAAGGGAGGGGAAAAGAGAGGGAAGCGGAGGGAAGGGGAGAGGTGGGGAGGGAAGAAGGAAGGAGGAGAGGAAAGAAAAGAAGAGTGGAGAGTGAGTCCAAAGTTTCTGGCCTGAGCACCTAGAGAGGTAGGAGTTGCCGTCACTGAGATGGGAAGCCGCGTCTGTGTGCGTGGGTGGTGCGCAGCGGGGAAGGTTAGGGTGGTGGAGGTCAGGTCTGCACATGGGAAGAGAGATTCACACTGAGACATGGCAGAGACCTAACCAGTCACTAGGTGTTCTTGGTAATAAAGCCAGGCATAAGGAAATCAAACAGCTCCTTCCCTGTGAGCATGGTACAGGCCTGCCCCGTGCACCCCAAGGAGATGCTCAAAGTCCTGGCTCCACGGTAGGAGTCCTGGCTCCACGGTAGGAGGCCTGGGTGCTTTGGAACCTGTGAGAACATGGCCTGGGAAGACCCCTGAGGCTGGGGACTGCGCCTCATGACTTCTGAACCCAAAGCGCCACAATGGCTGGGAACACCCCTCTCTCCCAGGACCTCTCTCTGGCTGTCTGTGAGCAGGACCAGCTGGGCACCAAGTGGGACCCATGTCTGGGGCAGGGGGACACGCACCCAGCTGTCGGCGCTGCTGCCCGTTCTTCAGTGTGGCCAAGGGTGTCAGCCCCTCCGGCATGCGGTGGTAGAGCTGGGACAGGCACTTCTCCTGGTGGTCCACATCTGTGCCTGGCTTCACTGCAAAGAGAACCACAGGTTAAATCCCATCTCGTGGACCTGGCCACAGACCCACGGAGAGATTTCTCTTTCCACCACATCTCCAGCTTCCTCTCCTCTGCAGTTTCACAGGGCATTTGGGATCATGGGTCTCCTTTCTGCCCCCTGGACACACCCCAGGCTGTCCAGCCCCTCCAGCTTTTTTTTTTCTTTGAGACAGTCCCACTCTGTCACCCAGGCAGGAGTGCCATGGCACAGTCATAGTTCACTGCAGCCTTGAACTCCTGGGCTCAAGTGATCCTCCCACCTCAGCCTCCTGAGTAGCTAGGACTACAGACGTGCACCACCACACGCCATGGCTGTAAAGATGGGGACTTCCTATGTTGCCCAGGCTGGTCTCAAATCCCTGGGTTCAAGCGATCCTTCTGCCCCAGCCTCCCAAAGTGCGTGAGCCAACATGCCCGGCTACCCCAAAGCTTTTGCTCACTGGGACCAGCCACACTCCAGAGGTTCATAATTTGACCCTGAGCCCCGACACAATACCTCCTCCGACCCACTCACCACACAGAACCTCCTAGCATAGCCCGACCCCGTCGTGCCCAGCCTGGACCCCTGCAGTAGAGCCCCTTCCTGCTTCAACTGCACCTTCCCTGGCGCATGCGTATCCTGCTCGCACACCTCACAAAACCACTCTCCACTTCCTCAGCACCCTCAGCCTCTGTTTCTGTGCTGACACTTCACTCCCTCTAGGCTGACCCTTCCCTCCTGTGCAGATGGAAAAAAATCAAACTCAAATGTCACCATCTCTGAGAAGTCATCCACGACTACACCACGGAGTCCACCCGCTGAAAATTTTGTCTCTGCAGCAATCACTGAGGTACTATATAGTATTTCTATCTGTTTCCACACCTTGTCCCGCCTAACAGACTACACAGCGCTAGGAGTGGCGGCTCACACTTTCAGAGAGCCTACAGTATACAAGGCGCTATTGAGCTTTGCATACAGGCACTTCATTTTCATGATAGCCTGTGAGGTAGGGTCTTGCCATGTGCCCATTTTACAGATGAGAAAATAGAGGCAGAGGACAGCTAAGTTACTTGCCCAAGGTCATACAGCTCATTCATGGCACAGCTGAGATATGAACCCAAGAAGTACGGCTGCTTGGGTTCATATCTCAGCTCTGCCATGAATTAAAGACAGAAGAGGCTGTCTTTTTAATTCCTCAGCAGGCTGCCTGGATTAATACTCATTACATCAAAAACCCCTGACCAGGTACCTGGGCTCATGCCTGTAATCCCAACACTTTGGGAGGATAAAGTGGGCAGATAACTTGAGTTCAGGAATTCAAGACCAGCCTGGCCAACAAGGCGAAACCCCATCTCTACTAAAAATCTAAAAACAAGCTAGGCATGGTGTGTGCCTGAAGTCCCAGCTACTCAGGAGGCAGAGGCAGGAGAATTGCATGAACCCAGAGGTGGAGGTTGCAGTGAGCTGAGATCGCATCACTATACTCCAGCCTGAGGGACAGAGCAAGACTCTGTCTCAAAAAAAAAAAAAAAAAAGATCCCACTTAAGCTATAGGTAAAAGTCAGTCCTTGCCTTGGACTGAACATTTAAACATGTAACTCAGTAAATAAGTAAATATGTAATATTTTCATGCATTTTTTTTTATTATAGAGACAAAAGTTTCTCACTATGTTGCCCAGGCTGGTCTCGAACTCCTGGCCGCAAGCAATCCTCCCATCTCAGCCTCTCAAACTGCTGGCATTACACATGTCAGCTACCATGCCTGCCCTAATGCCATTTAAAAATATCAAAACTAATGCAGAAAAGCCCATGATGACTCAAACATGCAAATTTCTTTTTTGTCTAAAGTTCCAATATAGCTCAGCACAGATTTTTAGTGACCTCTATCTTTATTTAAAATTTCCGCCAGGCGTGATGGCTCACATCGGTAATCCCAGCACTTTGGGAGGCCAAGGTGGGACAATTGCTTGAGGCCAGGAGTTTGAAACCAACCTAGGCAACATAGTGAGACTCCATCTCTACAAAAAATTGTTTTAAAACAAATTAACTG